GTCGTGGTCTCGAGGGTTTCCCAACTGAAGACTATTTTTTGCTTAATTTGGTTGAAAGGCAGAATGGATCAGTTTGGCACGTCCTAGGGCATGTCTTGGGCCTACCACAGTCCAAATCTCCCATCGCCTCAAAAACCATTTGTTGGTATGCTTGATCGTACAAAAAAAAATTGCCGCAGACTGCCGCAGACGCTAGTGCCGCACGATGAAGAAAGCATCGTACACTTATAAAGTCTCGTTAGAATGTTTCGAAGAGAAAAGAGTCACTATATACAGAGCTTGGACCCATAGACAGTTGAGAAATAGGCATAGCAACCTTGAAGGAGGGGAGTCCGAAAATCCAACCGAGCTTGAAGTATGGAATGCAAGAAGCAATAGTTTCAGCGGTGGAAGTTTGGTAATGATCAAGAGCAACAAAAGAAGGGAGGGGATTGGGATTTTGGAACGGCATGCACGGTGTTAGGGTCGTAGTGATTAAATGACGGTGACTTGGCAGTGAGCACGAACATGGTCAAACTACATTGAGGGAAGGACGTACTTCGAAAGAGGTTCTTAAAGAAAGTAAAGCGGTTTGTGGGAGTAAAAAAGTGTTGAAAGGGTCTGAATGAACCCCTTGGAGCGCCGAGGGAAGAAAGCGTGTTGCAGGAATAACACGGCGGTGGGAGTGCCGCAGCGCCGTCGAACACTGCCGCGGACATGTCACACTGCCGCTGTGTCAAGACTCGTACTGCCGCAGAATTGCCGCTGGGAGACGCAGGACTGCCGCTGCAAACAGCACGACTGCCGCAGCAAAGTGCCAAAATTGCCGCTGTAATTGCCGCAGACTGCCGCTGCACAATATTTGCAGCTGTTTGTCTGCCGCAAGACTGCCGCAGACTGCCGCTGTAGCGATATTTAAGTTGTCTCCAGCGCCCCCAAAAACACAAGTACCTCTACATCTCTCAATGGTAAACAGTGTATTAATCACATTACTATATCCATACACAGTTTAAGGTCTTAATCCCCGCGGCTGACACCGGTTGAACATGTGCCGCAAACTTGACTGCCGCGGACTGCCGCACAGATTGCCGCTGCATGCTGCAACGGCAATGCAGCGGCAAAATATCTTTGCCCGTTTCACTGGAACGGAAATGCTTTTAGGGCACATAACCCATCTATGCGTCAATATTGACATTCAATCCCGGGTGATTTTTTCCCGTCTTGGAGCGTCGAAGATACTTTCCTCCATGGAGGCCGCATGTACATACTGGGATGCCCCTGATGCTCCGCCTTGCTACTGGGACCCACAGATCACGCGGCTTGAAATAGGAGGAAGTCCATATCAGAACGTTCCACGGAGGAAGAATTCTGCGATATGCACCACGGATCCACCGAATCAGTAACCAGCCTGTGTGAGGCTACGGTCATGGTGGAACCCATGGCGGTGAGTGAAGAGCCACAAGGCAAATCAGAACATGGGGTCGCCGGTCACCCACAGAAGATACAATCGTAGAAGCGCAGTGACGTTTGTCCGGATACTGTCCGGCCGGTTGTGAGGCCAAAATTTGCCGCGTTGTCAAGTTTGCGGGAGTCGATGGGAAAAGTGAAAGACGACGGAACTTTCCGACGGATCCCGATCTTCTCTTCCAAGAGCTTCCTGCTGCCGCATCCCGAGCCGCCATGATCATGCCACTGACTGGCTGTCTCGCCGTCGCCGTTCCATCAGTATTCCGACGTCTTGTATGCACAATCCGCTATTCTATGTACTTTTCTCCATGATGACTGAATATACTTACACACAACGACGGACTTCCGCGTAATTTGGCGTCTTTTTCTCCGGAACCCTACAAGCCTTCGATTTTCGAACCCGGCCAATCTTGCCCCAAATCACCCCTAATACGCCCGGATGCCCCGAGACGGGGTTTGCCATTTCCTTCCGGTCAGGTACGCAAGCGATATGTAGCAGCCCGGCCAGCGCTGGTTCTTTGGCGCAGACAAACGAAATGCGGACCCCCGTTCGATTCGGGGTTCGCTTATAGGTATATCGATTTTTGGTGTGAGTCAATTTTGTTTTCACCTGCCTCAAGTATAAATTTAATTTCATCAACTCCTGGAATGTGTTCTAGCCCAACCACCCTGCGCGGATTGTCGCAGCTTATTTGGGAGCAAGCAAAATCGACGGAAGCGACGGCAATACCGGCTGGCCATCCAAAATTAGTAATCCTTGGCCTCCCATCGAAGTTTTGCGCGCTAAAAAAAAATCAGGTCCCCTCAAGGTTTTCGGAAACGGATGTAGCATGCACGGAGCACAAGAAACCGCCAACCAGTCTCAACATGGATCTACGCACGGCGTGATAATCATGTGAATGTATGGCACATATACTTGAGTAGGGTTACATATCCATAGATTTCCACACATCTAGAGTGGCAGTCCACAATTTAAAGTCCGCCGGATTTTTTTCACAACTCAAACGCGCCGAAGGTCGGGCAACTGGTGGTATTGATCTGAACAATGATGTTAAAGCTCAGCCGGAGTCTCAAAAGGGATATTTTGTAGCTGTCGAGCCCGAGAGAGCAGAAGACATGCAAAATTGAAAGGAATGTCGTTTAAAAGTTAATTCGAATCCCCTGTCTAAATATAAGAGGAGTCACGAAGCATATGAGGAGTTGCGCAAACTTCTTCTCCCGAAACATCAACTTGCAACCTCTCTATTCAGGCTCTCTCACATACAGCGCGGTTTATGTTTTGAATTCCACTTGATATGATCCTCTATCCACAATAAAACAGCCGAGAGGTCTGAATAGTGACAGAAATGCAAGGCGGCCGAAAATAATCCCTGCCCACCAAATTCGGATTGATAGGAAAGCTCCGGCAATCAAACGAGATACGCGGCGAGATGCCAGTTGTTTGATACGGTACAATGTCTCGACCTTGCTGGTCATACCACTCATCAGTCCCGGCATGGCGCAGTTGCGGCGACTGGCCAAGTGCGTTGCAACTTCCCCGGCATAACGGTACTGCAAATGAAACTGATGACATATCCGATGAAGCAAAGGCCCTCTCGATGTGTGGTTGTCCTTGGCGAACCAACTTAAAGCAAGGCGAAATTAAGGCGGAATAGCTGTGGACAAGGGAAAGGACAGAGATGGGTCCAAGATTTAGGTGTTTAATATCACTTCTGAGTGTTGTCTCGGACCAATACGAAAGATAAATGTCATCTTCAGCAGAATTGGACATGGCAACCTAACAGTTGAGTGAATTTCCGGGCCGAAAGGCGGGATTTCCGTGTATATTCTCTGTCATCTCGTTGGTCTTGTGTCATTTTGATTCATTGAACAGTATCTTCTATGGAAATGAGTTGACAATGCCGGTCCAAAAATCAGTTTAATTGAATACTTTTATTGGGCGTCATTCGCTCTAGTTACGAATACACACATCCACGTATCCTCGCATACATTCACCTAGTCCAGACCCCCCTCGGTCTTAGTCGTATTACTCACCGAAATCGTCGCCGTCCCATTTATCGTGGCGTTCCCCGCCAACGACAAATTCTTCAACCTACACTACTCAAGCAACATCGCTGCCAAATAGCAATCATTCTGCCGATTCGTGAGCACGCGCATGGCGAACTAACCTAACCTGCTCTTGGATCACGCGCGCCTCCGCCTCGTTCTCGATCGCAACAAGATCGAATGATTCCGGCCGCACGGTTAAATTGTTAAATTTGATTTCGGATCGAAGGGTGACGTCGGCTTTACGCGGCCGATCCCTCCTTGCCAACAACCACCACACTCGGTGTGCTTAGGCTCTGCGTTCACTGACAACAGCGATGCCCAAACTCCTTTCTTATCCTGACACTAGACCACATTAGAAATTGCGATCCACGAGTTCTCTTTGCAAGGCTGGATGGATGTCTCCACTGAGAACTCGCAACGAGGCACACCGCACCGTTACTCGGGATGGGCAAGGTTTCCTTCCCAGGTTCGAAATCCCCGCAATCTTGGATCTCTGCCAGTAGTGCGGGGCCGGCTCGACTCCTGAAACCATGCGGCTTGTAGTTATGGTCTTTCCCGTGCCACCATGCGCTTTCACTTCCTTTTATCCGCGTTTGTTGTCGAAATATGTGCGCCTCTACCTGCTTCGCTTGCTTTCCATAAATCATCCGTCCGCTCTCCATCGCTCGTTCTCATGTCCTGTTCTTTTCGCAGAAATCCCCACTTCCTTCCACGTGTGTCACGTCTCTCCGAGTCCCGGCTACATAAGTATCCGTAACTCGTGATCCGCAGAATCTCCTCAAATGCAGTCGCTTCCCTCGAGCTTGAATATATCCTCTGCCTCTTTCCCTGTGGCCGCTTGGTACTGGCCAGCCCCCATCCGTGGTGTCTACCACCCTATAACAAACTTGGCGCGCGCTGCGTGTATTGGTGGGAGAGGGTGCGCAATCTCTCTTTTTTTCACGCGGAGGAGCTGGTGTGCCCGTGTGTCATGTGCGTTTTTCGTTTCTTCTTCAAAGCCTTCCTTCCTCCTTATCTCTGCTTTCACCAGCTTCACGGAGTACACGCTGAGTGGTTGTCTCGCGGTAGACCTGGGCGGGTTGTCAATGTACTGTACCTCCGCATCTTCCCTTCACGGCGGTGGCCCCCCGTCCCGATTCCACCAGTCGCACCGTGCTCCTCGCGAGGTCTGGGTATACATCTCGCACTGAATTTTCCCACACAAGATTCACGCGTACTTAGGCAGCCAAGAAGATCCTACAGCGATGCTGCGTAGCCGCCCAATATTCGTTAGCCATCACGGTATGGAGAATATCCCCGTTCGACTCGACTCGGGGTCGGAGTTGGGCTCATTGCGCCAACGATTATTTTTTCGCGCCACGATTTTCTTCTTCCATCATCGAATTGATTTCCTTGGTGAATTTCTTTTCTTGGGATTCGGGGGCGGAAGATTCGCATTTTGATGGTCCACTTCCGTACCCATTCTCTGCTCCGTGACGCATCTGACGTCCCATATCTCCGGAAGAGCCGTCGTTGACCAGGCAGGTCACCTCCTTTCAATGGAATTTCCCGTTTGATTATTGACCCAGGAGGATTCTCGGGGTTCGAACCCCCGCGACGGCATCGAATATTCGTACCGAACTTTTTGCTTCGGTTTGCTTCGTGCTCCAACTCTGAGGGGTAGTTATTCACGGCCGTGCCGCACCCTTTATATTAGGATGTATAGGCCAATTATGCACAAATTTATTATAACTTCAAAGTAATAAACCAGTTGCGCGAAAGTAGCATTGGGAAAAAAAAATTGAGTGCAGCAAGGTATGAGGACGCCTGGGTACGTGGTTCTCACCCGATTTTGTCAGAAAGCCCGTTCTTTTTTATTGGGGCCCAGAACACTGACACTGCTATGTTTTCGCACACTTGACAAAATGAATAAGACCCGATAACGCTGGTACAACTGGTCGGAGGATTTATTCCGGAGGCGCACCCGTTCGATTCGGGGTCGTGTAGTATAAGAGGGACAGCAAGTATTTTTTTCCGTCCTCCCGAAATCCAGGTGTCGTTTACATTTTTGGCTGGTCTGAATCGAACTTCAGAATGCAACCGAGAGGAAGGCTGGTAGGGAAAGGGCGGTAACTGGATCAGCCTCAGATCTTCTTTTCTAAAGTGCGGCGCGGAACTTGTCATCCCTGCATCTCATCCTTGCGTCGCAGATAAGCGGATAATACCACAGGCAACCAGTTGCACTGCCCGTGAGCCGATGCGTACATTGTTTCTATGCAGATGGCCCGTTCGATTCGGGGCGAGGTTACATCGCGGGACATAGACGCTTTTTTTTGTCCCTGAGTCCATCTGGTGGAGTCGCAATAAAAATGAGTAAACTGTACGACGTATGTGACGACTTGATAGAACTCGGCGTGTCCTGCGGTTACCAGGCTGGGTACACATGGGTTATCCCGTTCGATTCGGGGTTGAGTCATAGCCCAGGGAGAAATTGGTTTTTTTTTTTTGCGACTGCAGAATTAGGACAACTGTGCAGCGATGTTTCAATGTCTCCATAATGATACCGTAGATTTCTGGTTGAGAATATTCCACACTGGTGAAGAGTCGTATGTGTAGCGCTGAGGGAACTTAAATCCGTGGGCGGCGGAAGCCCCGGGCCGGAAATACTAACCCACTGACGCAGAGATGACGAACATTGAACGTTATTGAACGTTGAATTGTCCAGGTATGAACGTTATGAACAACCTGACTCAAGTTCAGCCGCAAAGTCCAACCCCTATGGGCGATTTCGGGCAGTGATCCGAGTTTCGTGATGTCGGCATTACGCGATCGATCTTCAGTTATCCCTTTGTTACCAGCCACGATGTTGCGCTCGCCATTCGCTGCGTTCGGAGTGCGCCAACTGATTCCAACGACGAAGAGGCCGAACATCACGTCTGCATTTACCTCCTTCAACCATTCGAAACGCACCTCCACGGCCGAGTCCGACGCAAGCCTGATTCGAGCCGCAACTCGCGCGAGAGACTGTTCTTGAGACTGGTACATTCTTATCTCGATTCGAAGCGTAAATCTGCACGATTTATACTGATACTCTCGATGCAGGGCTCTTGACCACTATTCTCCGGCTACAACAATCGAAAGAAGTGGCGTGCTTGCCCCTGTATTGTAATCTCTGGGTACCGGCAACGCTGCTTCGGATTTCGGTATCATTACTCCGCATCGCCTCATCATATACCACAAGTATATGCAGACTACTCCACTAACGGCGTTTCCGTGTGGATCCCGTTACGGTTGACACCGACGGGGATTCTCTCAGTGAGCAACCTTTGCTTCTACTCTCCCCTCCGCTGTTTCTGCCGAAGTACTGACATTTACCGTCCTTTTCATGTTCTTATCCATAGCCTACCGCTTCTACATCGCTTTCTCTTCCGGTATATCCGTCTTCCTGACTAATCTCTCGGCCCCTCCTCCTCGTCTTCGGGTTTATCTCCCTTTCCCGTATTGACTCCGACGTGGATTCCACTTGGCCTGGTCGACTGTGCTTGTGCCGACGTTCTGAATTTGTGCGCTGCGTGAATTATATTGTGTTGTAGCGCCCCGTAAGCCCGATTCCGAGTTCGAGGTTTCCCGTGTTTAGTGCAGCATCCTCTTTGCTCAGTCTCCCCGGAGCCCTCACCTCTCATCTCGTTTATAAAATTTACTCACGGAACTAAAGGACATTGGTCGTTCTCGACACAATCGTAGACCCCCCGCCGCCACCGGCTCCTGTTGGATTCGGAGTCGATGCGCTGCCAATCGGACTCGCGTTCGTGCGTGCGTGCCCCGCCGGCGTACACCCATGTGCGCCCTCTTCACACGCGTGGAATTTTTCTTCTCCGCGGAGGGATGGCGCGCTTCCTTGGTGTTTTTCCATGTGCAAAGGTTCGCAAAGGTCTTGAATCCATCGGAGCAAAACGTCCGGAACAACTGCCGGAATAGGACAGGCATGTCGCGACTGTGATAAATGATAACTTGGCGGACGAGTTTTTAACTGAGGGGGACGTGGAAAGACGGGAGCATCGGTGCTGTGTGGACATCGACATTCTTGAAACTGAGTTCAACTGACGTTCCCGATGGCAGATGTTCATCCAACCTTTGCGGATACAACAAGTCTCCGACGTCCAACTGCTCACTTCTATTTCTCCATCATCTGCGCGCCGTGTCAGACGTCACTCTAATTGTGTTATTTTCGTAAGCCCTCATTTTTTTTCCCCCTTCAACTCTGGTTTAACCCTTTCCGAAGGCAGATGTCAGCATCGATCATGCTTATTTATGCTAGTGGCTATCAGTTCTTGACTCTCGAGGACCCGGAGAACGCAGGGTAATTCAAGTTCGTCCGCCAGTGATGCCAAGACCTGCGATTGACGCCTCTCAATGCCGGTACGGAAAGTCTTCGAACTACTTAGAAACTGTTAATTGAGGACAACCAAGTGTCATCCACCGGACCCATTCTATAAAGACTGGTTGGCGATGCGATACATTCGCCAAATTTCGAACTCCATGCTTCAACCACCGTACAGTCGCGCCCTCTTGGCAGTACTATTCACGCTCCCTGCTTTCGTTTCGTCCACTCCCACTTTCCCGGCAGGCACACCTTCCGGTATCGGATGTGTCGATCCTCAAGGCTTGGTGGATTGCTACAGCAGCAATGTGGACCAAGCCACATCATGCGCGGCCACTGCCAAGAATTCTTGCTCTCCGGATGAGCAGAATACTTGTGCTGTCGGCTGTGCAAACTTCCAGCTTGCTGCGAACGTTGGGTGTTGGCTTCAGCATTGCTGGAACCAGGTAAGTGTGGCCTCTGACCCCTGCAACGTCCGGTTAATCACGGAGAATGAAGGTGTACTCCTGCGACTTTCAGGCCACCGTGATTACCTACATCGACACAGCAGATCAAATCGCAAGCTCCGTGACCATTCCATTCTATCCGCCTCCGGCGAATGCACCCGGCAGCTGTTGTACGCGCTGCAACAGCTACAGCCTGCACATTTCCTGACGCTTATTTGACAGCATGTAACCTTGGACAGGTGTACGGCTATATCAGTGAATCGGCGGTTGCGCCAGACCCGTGCAACGCGTACGTGAACACCGCGCCAGATAGCGTCGCCGACTGCGAGTGCTGCAAGCTATCTGCACCCATTTCCAAGTGCGTGATCCTGTCTTCATGCAGCCCCAGACCTGATAAATGACATTGGATTTCCAGTATAATCAACACTTGCCCCAAGTCGGACCTGACATTTCTAGGCGTCCCAGTTCTGATTCAAAAATATGCTGCCGAAGCTCAACAAGATACCAGTGACTCCTGTCAGTCTGTTCTGGGATCCAACACGAATATCTGCTCGTCGCAGTTTGGCATTTCTGTCGATGGGAGCGGGGAATTCCTTAACCCTGCAGCTCTTCCCGCAGGAGTCCCGGGCTCAGAACCATTGTCGACGCTCGCCGGCTCGGTGACGGCACTCCCAGGCCCGCAGACAATCACCCTCGAGCTTTTCCCAGGATATTCAAGCGTCATCGCTCTGGCCCCGTTCGACGCGAAGAAAGTTGCGGAAACTGCTCCACCGGCAGCGGCTCCGACTGGCAATGGAGGGAGCCCTTCGACGGGAAACGGCGGTTCTAGATTACGGATGGCATGCGTGGTACTATTAGCAATATTAGAATACTATATGCTCACTGCGGTGTGAGAAATCTAGTTGCGGGGATAATAATGTCACACCCCAATAAAATCTTATCCAACCGTCCCCCGCACGCCATCGCGGAGAGTCGAACCTTAGGCTTCTAGATCTCCTTCGCGAGATGTTCTCAGCGATTTGTTATTAGGAGGAGGAGCCACCCGCCTGGTCGATGACGGCTAGATTTGCTTGTTCAGGATCACTACTCAGCAGGGGGAGAGAGAATGAACGAAGGGGAAATGGGTGAATGAAGAGCGAGGATGGGAAGGTCTGTACCCGTGGAGAAGGGGCTAGGAGGGGAGGGGGGTGGCACGCATCCGGTTATATACCCGTAGCAGGACGAGCGCAGCGAGGCTTAGCGCGTTGTCAGTGCGAAGGCGGGCCGTGGGTGGATCGGGAAAAAAAAAAAGAGGAAATTGCGCGCGGCTGCGACGGTGGAAAGATGATGTTGCGCAATGGATGGATGCCCAGTAGGAATTGTTCGACGGCAGTGGAGCGGTGTGCGCACGGCATGCTGTGGGAGAAGGTGTCGTGGCGGTGACACGAAGGCAAGCTCACGATCTCGCCACAGCTACAGTTGCGCGGTGCCAGGATGCGGAAGTTATTTCCGCCTCCGGTAATGTGGCGGTATGCAGTAGCGGAAAGAAGAGAAAACCCCCGGCAGTCCGCGGATTTGGGGTTGATACGGAGCGGACGAGGTAAGACAGGCTAGGCGAACGCGGACAGTTGGCGATATATACGATAGCCAATGGGGGAATCTCAAGTCGACAAAGAGAGATAGGCAAAAAAAGAGAGAGGGAGGTGGGGTAGGTGCGCTAACCAGAAACACACGTTATCGTCGTGACTCAGCGCCGACTTGCGGTGTATGTATTGAGGCGCGAAAACCGGAGTTCGACGTCGATGTAATTCCAAGGT